ATATCTAGTATAATGAAGGATGATGAAAAATAATGAGTCAATTGAATATTTACATATAATTCAACTAATCAATATTTGACAATGATGATGAAGATATTATCTTCTTGAATATTGTTAAAATGAAAATTTAATATTCTTTTATAAACTACGTGAATTTCCTAATTACCTTTGATTATTTGTTCTTGTCATGTTCTTTTTTACACAGGCATGTCTTTTTCCAAATTATATTCTGTCTGTTGAACTTCAAAAAAAAAGGACCGATTATGCTTGTTTTTATCCATTGTAAGATTAGAATATACTTGAATATCCTCAAATTATTAGAAGAAATTAAATTGATAAAGTATTATTGGAAATGACATGAACAATAAAAAACAAATAAAAGTTAAACTGGTTTCTTAGACGACTATGAATTGCGAAATAAGTTGTATGAAAAAAAACTTAAGTTTACTGTAGGAAGTTGTTGACTTCTTCTTTTTAATGTGTAATTTGCCAAGGATGACAAATTTCAAGGATTTTCAAATATAATTATTAGTAAATATTTGAATGTATTAAAGCAATAGAATATTAAAAAGAAATATAGAAAGTTCTTGATGATTATTTATAGGTTTTGTTTTTTTAGTACAACTTTTATATGAAATTTTGGTATATTTATTATATATCCAAAATACTAAGTACTTCAGGTTTTCTTTGTTACTTATGTCTAACAATAGTTCTTTTTATTTTGGAATAAGAAGTACGTAAAGGCATTTTTAGTTAAAAAATATTAAGCATAAAGTGCTATATTTTTCTGATTTGATATAATTGACAAATTATCTGAGAGCAATAGACTTATTTTAATCATGAGAATTTATGTTCTACGTTTTTAATGGTAAATTTTTGTGCGTCAAATTTCTTGACATGTCATACTATTGCGTTGAACATTTATCATAGTTTAAAAATAAAGTAAATATTTAGTTATTTAGCATAGCATAATCGTATTTACTCATTGTTAACTTCTTTTCTAACAATCTGCACGTTGTTTCCTTCTACAATTAATATTGAATATAGGACAAAATAATTTTTTCTTTACTTGATTATAAAATTATTCACAAGTTTTTACTATTTCAAAACAAGAAATGTGCAATATTGATTTAAATGTTAAAGTATTGACTGAGTTACCGAGATGGAATTCATTGGGAAATTGATTACAATAACATACACGTTCATGGCAACGTTGAGACACTAATTCTATCAGAATATGAAATTTCTTTTTTTTGTAGTGATGCATTTAAGTGCTTCAGTGAACACTGCTATTAGTGTGTCAGTATGTCAGAACAATAATAACTCGACGATTTGTAAACTGAAACTGCACATTGCCATTCCAAACTAAGGATCACGATACATAATTTAATAATAATTGCAAAAAAAAATAACTAAAAGCGCTTATCTTATAATAATAGATCACTCAAAATTCATAATATTCTTGTTCAGACTTATAATCAAAAAGAAATAGATCATTTGCTAAATGTTTTTTGTTTGCAAATTGAGATTTTATATATATCATTTTTCTTAGATAAGTTACGTATCAATGACAATGAAAATAGAATTATTTCAAAAATTAAGAATAAAACCTATCTTCATCCATATTATCTGCGAAGAAGAATTTAATTAATCTATACGTTAAAGTTCTACGAAATTTTGTCATTATTATAATTTACATAGTTTCACGTAAGAATGAACAGTGTTAGCGTAATTTTTCTATTTGTATAAAAGCTTTCATTTTATCTATGTTTCTGGAAGAGTGAATATGTTCATAAATAATTACACATTAAAAAAGAAACATTAAGATATAGCGTACTTTTTTTCATAGTAAAAATAATTAAAGCATCTAAATATAAATTTGAAATAAGATAAAATGATATGTCTTACTTAGTGTTGTCTTGAATAAATAAAGAAAACATTTTTATGACTTTTAAAGAAAATAATTCTTATCGTTTGACACATGCCAATCTATGAAGAACTTTATTCTTATCTACATTATACTGAAAATAATAATAGATGATTGAAATTTCCCCGATGTATTGTCAACATACTCCAATGCACAAATATTATCATCGATGGCAATCAAATTTATTTACATATGCATAAATTTCTTTCAGCAAGTCAGAATTGTTCGTTTTTTGCAGAGATAATTTCTTTGTCAAAATTTTTTTATTCAAAATTTGCATTCAATTTCATTTAAAGTTAGTTATTAATTTTCATTATCTAATTCAATTCTTCTTTATTAGATTTCTTAGAACTTAATTCATTTTGTGGACATGACATTCATTAACATATAACTATAGTATTATTGAGTTAGGTAAATACGTGGAAAATTTCAGATGTTTTTATTTTTTCTGTTTGTTATTATCAAAATCAGATATTTAATGTGAATGAGAAGGTTGTAACGATGTTTGCCTATTACTTTTTAAACAAATTGTTACTACAGATATCTGAGTTTTTTTTTTGATTGAATACTATTGAACAGACTAAAACGTCAATTTATGTATACAATCAAGAAATATACGTAGAGAAACATTGTATTATAAACAAAATCTTTGAGAACCATATTATCTATTCATCCAAAACAAAAGACTCATTAGACATATTTAATGATTAATATGATTAGATAATATTTACGAAGTATAATATTCTTTGACAGATTGTTTTGAATTCAAACGAAAACACAAAAACGACTTGAATTAATGTAAACGAGAATTATCCCAAATGAAAATAAATATAAATAGAATCTATAGTTATAAATAAAAACAAAGAGAATGACAAAAGAAAAATTCTTGAACATGTCTTCTTTTTCTGCTAATAATAAAAAGTCTATAAACAATTATTAGAAAAAAAAGAAAAAAAAAAATGTCTAGTTTTCTTTCGAGGTCATTTTCAACTGCTAATAAAAACTTGATTCTATTCTTTCAATAAAAGCATACATTTGCATATAAAAGTTAAATGAATTGAAAAAAATAATAATTCAAGCAATAACAAACGATACAAAATATTTATATCCTAGATGCCAATTCAAAACACGGCAAAAAAAGGAAACTACTTTTGCTGGGGGTTATAAGATAGAAAAAAAAATGCATTAGTTCATGTTGAGAACAGAAGCAATAAGGCGTGTGTATTATGTTAATTTCAATTTAGCTAATAGCTAATAATTTTGTTAGCTATTCTTATATTTATTTGGAAAGAACAAAAAAATAAAGGCTTGTAATTCTAAAATTTTCAAAAAGTTCTTCATGACATGTGTAGAAAAATGAATAACCTGCTGTTAGGTTAATAGCATGCATTTCTTTTTATCTAGATTTTTTTCTCTTTTGCTTTTTATTTTTATTGCTAGTAATATTGTTGTTGTTGACGATGATGAATAGTTCTCCTTCTTTTTCTTCTTTTATCATGCACTTAAGCTTTCCTAGAACAACTTCAGTTTGTAATTTTCTTTTCATTCATCACCTATTAACTTACTTTTTTTCGATGAGGCATATTAACTAATCTACTCTATTATCTATGTTGTTTCATGTCTCAACTTAGTATGCAGTAATATGTTATTTGTTAGAGATGAATAAATGTGTGACTTTAGAAGAGAATATCATTTAATTCATATAGTCAATGCATTTTATGAATTAATCATGGAGATAAACTACGCACAAGAAAAGAAAAAATTAATAATCCAAAGTTATCTCATCAATCGGAAGAAGATTATATGTTTTAGATTACACTTTTCTCTAGTGAAAGTAATTAATCCTGACAGAGTAAGGCGTGATACAAGTAAAAAATAATCTTCTTTTTTTTCAAATTGTTTTCTGACTTTTTTCCCTCATGACTATCGATATTAAGAGAAGTTTTCTCATTAGACTTGCACAGAATAATGATCTACAACATTTGATCAATAATTGAAGATTTTCCAAAAAAAGAACGGAATACTCTCTATGCGTTGACTTGTACTTTTACAGTCAAATCTTCATTATGACTTTTTCTTTTTTCTTTTTTCCATCAACTTCTTGCTGTTTTATGGAAAGTATAAATTACGAATAGAATATTTTCTTTTTCTTTCTACAATACGACTGATTATATGTTAATCAAAAATAAGATTTCATATCACAGTTGATGTTCCGGTTCCATATTGTCGTCAAATTTTTCTTTTCTATATATATATCTATAATCTAACTAGCATATATATATATATAATTTTATTTTAGTATATATATATAATTTTATTTTAATATATTCATATATATATAATCAATGGCAACAAATATAACCCATGATTCAAGTCGTGATCTTCGACATACTCGATTAGTCCTTTTATCAATACTTTTTATAGTTGGTTTAACTGGTTGTTCAATTGTTATTTATTGGTTAATACGTTATGCAAGATGGAATATGAGATCAGGTCGTATATGTTCACTTATTCTTAATTTAATTATTGCTGATTTATCTGTATATATATTTGCAACTGGTATTCAAATTTTTTGGGAATTTCAAACAAATCGACAATGGCCATTTAATGATTTTCTATGTATAATCAAAAAAATAACTCTTTTGTTTTTGTTTTTTTTTTGGATTATCGATATATTCAAATTTTTGTATGTTTAGGTCGAGTAACAAAATTCTTTCAAAGTTTTTCAATTCTTTCATCATCTTATATTGTTGTTATAATGGCTATTGATCGTTGTGTTGCAATTGTTAGTCCATTAAAAGTTGGTAAAATTCGTGTAAGTATTCATGATTTAAAATATAAAAAATTCATTCATTTAATTTGAAATAGGTTCTTCATTTATGTGGTAGTGCTTGGATTTTAGCTGGTATTTTATCAACACCAAATATATTTATATTTCATTTACGCATTGATGATTCTGCTCGTTATTGTACAGCAGTATTTAATCAACAATCGACTCGTACAGGACGTCGTATTTATTTAACCTTTATATCTCTCGTTGTATATTTTATACCATTTATTGTTCTTGTTGTCTGTTATATACTTATTTTTATTAAATTATTATGGCGTGAACATGATCAAGATAATCGTAATATTAAACGAATATTACCATGTTGTTCATGGTTACTTGATGCAAAAATAACACATGCATCAAAAATGATGTCAGAACACATGAATCCAAGATCAGCATCAAATCGTTCATCATTTAGTGAATTCGATGCAAGACGAAAACGAGCAAATACTTTTGCCAAAGCTCGAACAAAAACATTTCGTATGGTAAATAAATTGTTTTTATTTTGTTTTTTCGAAAAATCAACAACTTTTAAGATCTTAGCATATGTATGTGAAACTAGAAATAATTAAGAAATTCAAATGAACTTAATTAAGTCTGATAACCTCTTTGATAGGTATCACACATCTAGATATGCACTTTTAAATGTCATCATTATTATGAATGAAGCCGGTGAACATATTAAACATCCTTATGCAATAGCAGAATCCTTTTCATTAATTAATTTCTTGCAAAATTGGTACACATCAAAATATATGCCTAGTTTTCTTGAAAAATCTCAAGAGACTGAAGTTAACATTATTTCTGGGCTCTAAAATCCATAAAAATATCTTCTGAAATCGTCAAAACTGTTTTGATTGTTTTTTGGAAAAAATTCTTTTAGTTAGAATAAAATGACACACAATAGAAGATTCTCTGAAGAATTTGTATGCCTGAATATAATAAAAGACTAGGGATATTCTATTGCTAAGATCTCATTACTGTAGATTTATTATATGGTTACCAACTGTATTATTGCATATCTATACTCCTAACTCTCGTACATTGATAAAACTGATCTCATAGATGATTTTAATCTTTCCGATAGCTAATAGACATTTTCTCTAATTCATGATTAGCAAACCTGTTTTATAACGTTTTCCATAGGATTGATCATGAAAAACTTGTTTAAATTACAATTCTGGATTGTTTTTTTTTTGTTTACAGATTATCGTACTTGTATTATTTATGATTATTTTTGGCGCACCTTATTATTGTTTGGAATTATATGTTGCCTATACAGGTCGTCAACCACCTGACTTAGTCTTAGCTTTAGCTGGCGGTGCAGCTGTTGCTCCATCTTCATTAGATCCATGGATATTTCTTTTATTTTGGGCTAATTGGAATCAACGAGCTAATATGGGTAGTAGTCGAAAATTAGCTAATATTACTTTACAACAGAGGAAACAAATTCAACAACCACATTGTTTACACGCACGACGAACTATTCAATCAAATACAACAGGTACGTCATCATCAAGTGATCCACGTCAATATCATCAAGTTTTACTTCTTGGTCCATCACGTGTACCACCTTATACTATAAGATGGAATTCAACTAGTAAAAGACAAAATAAATATACTTTAGACTGAAGAAATTTAAATGAAAAATAGATTAAAGTAAAAGAGAGAACAGTAAATTTATTTGATGAGTTTTTGTATCAGAGTATCTTTAATAAAATAATGTGATTGAGACATTTCAATATATTGATGATAATCAACTTTGCGATAGATATTTTTCATTGCATCAAAATAATTTGTTATGATTATAAATTTATAACCATCATCAATAGCACTTCATATTGATTTAATTAATTTTAAGATAAATAAATAGATCAACATCTGGATTAGCAAGACATATGTTCAATAAAAATCATTTTTCTATCTAATTTTAATATTTTATACACTTCAGAAAGAACTTTTCCCCCCTAATGAATCTGGTATACAAGTCTTATTATAATTGTATCAATACTATTTAATTCAACATCATACATATCTATTATTGAATTATTCGAAAGAAGAATATTATACGAAATGTCATATTGATTAATAATAGATTTATGCAAATAAATATTATGTTCACTCCGAATATATAATTCTATATTAGTATTATGATATAAATAAACCAAAAACAAAATTTCTATTACATATCCTGGAACATGTGAATGTCAAAGTAACTCATTACATTGAAGATTTATTATCCCAATATTACTAGTATTGAAATTTTTTGCTATTTCAAAAATAAAATTTTGATATAGTTTGAAAAAGAAATTCTATAAGTTGACTCATATTTCTAATAAAGACCCAACTCATAAAACACTATACAAACCTTATATGTTTTTTATTAACAACGTAGTATAATAATAAGTAGAGTCAAGTTATGAAACAATATGCTAATATATAATAAAAATAATTACATGTCACCAGTCTGCACTGTATTACCTTGAAAAAAATATATATTGTAATTTTTTTTTGTTTTTTACGTACGTTCAATCTTTATAATCTGATTATGCAAAAGATGATCGAAAAAAATTCATTAACGTCATCAAATATTCAATAATAGGTTAAAAATATATTGTCAGTACAAGCGACACAACTTGACTTATTCTATGATAATTAAAGTTAAAAGCTACGGGTGTTTGCAAAAAAACGTGGGAAAAATTTTTTTTTCTTAAAACCTTTTTCTCTACTGTTGTAAATAATTACAAAAGTCATTTTTCAAGGAGTAAACCCTCGATAGATATACTACATGCTATATATAGAAGCGTGATTTTTCCTCTTCGATACTTCTAGAAGTGAATAAGAAGAATATGAAATTATATTATTGTATAGTGCTCTTCGTGGGCTATCTACTTCAATATAAAACAATTTGAAGAGCACTTGTATAGAAGATGATATCTGTGAAAGAAGGTTTCCAAGTTTTTTTTGTAAACACCTGTATATTAATCGATAGAAACTTGCAGTCTTTCATGGAAGTTGACTTGTCTCATCAAAATAATTCAACTCTCACACGTAGATGAAGCAATTATTAGATTGAAGTAATCCGATTCCATATTCATCTGAGAACTTGTTTCAAAATTCTATTCTTGTTTCACACAGAATTTATGTCATCAAAATCACGTTAGTTTTGATGATTAATTGCGATTCGAACAAAAATATCATTGATTAATCGCAATTGATCGATGATTATTAAACTGTTGGCTTTTCATTTATGAAAAGTAAATTTTGATCATTTTATCTTAAAAAATATTTTTAGTATTTCCAGCGTATGATATCTGATAGAAATTTCGGACTCAATATTTACTATCTGATTAATTTCAACCCATAAAAAAACCAGATATGACCATTTTGTTTTTTCAGCTCTTATATAATCCATCATATTTATTAGAGAATTTGTTTTAATTCACAATAACTTTGCTGATAAGTATATTATTTCAACCTTTCACCTCTAATCCTAATCCAGCAGAGTTGATGTTGAATTGACTACGAGAGTAGCTTATGTAGGTGTTCGATATGACATTGATGTAGCAAAATTTGAGCGATGTCATTGCACTCTGAAGATGTAGAATGGTTCAAAAATAATCCATTCGTCGTGAATGGCATATAAATTGAATTCTTTTATGTTTTATTGCAATTGTATGTTAATTTTCTGTATACAGCTGAAAACTTCTCTATTATGGATTATTTTTTGAAAAATGAATCATTTTGAGAACGACATATGGTTAGACATTGGCAAAGGCAGCTGTTTTTGGATTGAAATCAGCTCTTTCATTTTTGGAATTGTATCGGAAATCATTAGTATTCATTTTCTTTTTGTATAATATGGTATCGGTAGTCCCAATCCTCATTCGAAATCACTCATCTTTATTATCATAGTCTTCTTCAAAAGGAAAATTATAACAAAAACTGCATGTCACGATTTTTTACCAATAGAAAATTATTTAAAAATGGCCGTGAATTGCTTTTTGAATTATTATTAGTTTTAATTAAAGTTTTTAGCATAAAGATATTGTTAATTATGAATCTATATCTAATACAAAACAATTCTTAAAAAAAACACATTTTTTTATGTCATTTACGACGAATAGATCATTTTTGACTCAAGTTGTCCCAAAGAATGCTGTCTCCATGTCTCGAATCCATAACTTTTCTAAAGTTTCTGTGTAAATAGATGATATCCTTAGTAATATATATCGATTGCTCAAACACAAGAATGATCAATTTGTACAAATAAAAAAAACGAAAATAAATCGGATTTTTTCAGTTTTTTTTTTGAAAAATCATCATTTTCCAATTGAAATATCCTAGTCAAGAGATAATTTAAAAAAAGTTTAATTTCTTACGATTCTATAGCTTATTAACTGCTCTACACAATGTTAAAGAAATGTCTTGATCCGATGGTTTATTACTTCAAATATATAGTTTTCCTGAATAGATCAAAAATGACCTACTAAAGGGTAAAGGATTAAGAAAAAAATTGTATAATTTTCATTTAAATCAATTCCAAGAAGAATGACACGGTGAATATTATTTTATAAAATAAATTATATTCTTTTTTATTTAGATTAATTTCAATAATAATGTTATTAGTAAGCATGATTTTACAATATAGATGATGTTTTTTTTGTTTTATTTAGATTAATATCAATTATAATTCAATCAATTCCTTTTTTAGGTCTTTATTGTATACCAATATATATTCTACAAGCAGATACAATTTATATTTGAATAAATCGATTGGAAAGTTAACAAAATCAATTTACTTAATGAACTGAAACAATGTTTTGATTGACAGAAATTTCTATTTATTCGAAAAAAATACATAATAATATATGTTCTAAAAATTGATAAATGTATTAGTAAAAACTATAACTAATTTTTCTTTCTTTAATTATAATAATTAATGTGAAGATTTTGATTTTAATCTATATTTAAAAAATTCTAATGTTACTATATCATTAAATGTTGTTGGATAAAGTAAAACTATTGATTGACATATATGAAGATTATTTTGTAAACAAAATCCATTTTTAATATTATCTATTGTTAATTGATTACGATGATATTGAATAGAACAATTATTATTATTTTTACATATTGAATTTGTTTGTTCATTACGTAATTTATATTTTACACATTTCCATAAATGTGTTTCACGTGCACTTGGATAAGATTGTTGTAAACATGAATCAATTAATTTAGTATTGCGTACAAGATTTAAAGCTTGACCATTTAAAATATAAGCATTTACTTCTTGTTGTTCATAAATAATAATTAATGGTGATTGAGAACTCTCAGTAGAAGTATGAAGAAGTGATACTAATTTTTCTCGAAAGACAAATGTAGGAGCAGGAACAATAATTAATGAATCATTACTAGAAATATATTCATATGAACTTATTGACTGACGAATTACAACAAGAATACGTATCCATAGATTTACATGATATGGTGATTGAGTAGGATTAAAGTCTAGAACAATAAACAATATTTTGAAATGAAATTAGATAATTTTTCAGAACTATTAGTTTTATTTTCAACTTTTAAAATAACTTTTACGAAATTTTCTTTCGTACATCACAAACTAAGAATATGACCATTTCATTTCCAATTATAAAACTCAAACTAGTTAATGTATTCACATGAAGATTTTTCGATCTTATCGATTCTAATCATAATAATTATTTTCTTTTTGTTAAAGTGATCGAATACAAATGAATGAAAAAACTATAAACTTACCTAAGCTCATCAAGAAATGTACATACCAAAGCTGGACATAGAACTACTTTCTCTATCCTTGTCTTATCCTGCTTGATGAGCGGCAAGATAGTAAGAATTCTTATTTTAACTTTCGATCACCTAAGTACATATTAATTTATTAGTTATCTTATAACTAATTTATTTCATATCATTTTCAAATACAACAACGAAACGTTTTCAATAATGACTAATATTATAAATACAAGAAAATATAGAAACAATATGAATTCGTAGGGTTTTGTCATCATTATCCTAACCGATAGTGGATACTATTAATAAAAAAAAAGTACTTGATAACAAAACTAATACAAAGCAAAAGAAGATATACAAACCATCAGGACCGTCTTGTCCTGTACCTAGCTCTATTACACACTCCATAAATTGAAACCCACGTTTTATAACAAATGAGTATGATAGAAGGAAATACCCATAAGAAAAATCTTCTCACAGTAAACTGTCACTTGTCTATGCGTATCATCGTTAAAATACTGAAATATATTATGGAAGAAGAAAGTGTTGTTCACAAAACGATTCTCTCATAAGGTGAATCATTATTGAATGATAATTAATTAATTTAATGTTTTAAATTTTTATTATAAAACAGACACTATTCTTTCATACTGATTCCATTAAAAGTTTCATTCAATCAATTAACTTACATTCATCCGGTGTTTGTAATTGTTTATATCTTACAATACTAATTTTATGACAATGTTTAGCCCATGTTATATTACTTAAATAAATAAATTGTTCATGTATTGAATGTGTATGTATTAATACACAAAATAGACGTGGATTAATATCTTTTCTATTTATATTGGCTATTATTATTGGATCAGAACGAATTATAAATGATATTATTAAAAAAAGACCCAAGATTGTTAAAAATGTAACAAAACGAGTACAAAAACGTCGTCGACCAAATATGTACGGCATTAAAAATGTGTAAACATTCAAAAGAAGTAAAAAAAAAAGAAAGAAAGGAGTGAATAAATTTATAATGTTTTAAGCATTATTCTGATGGCTTAGTTTGGTTTTGTAATTTTACTGTCATAAATACACCAACATTAAAGAAATCACATTAAGACAAAAAAAAAAAAAGAAAGAACGATTTAAAATCTGCTTTTTTCGTCTTCCTGAAATTTATTATTCTTTTCACAAAAAAAAAATAACATAAAATAAATACTTATTTTACAATACTAAATAATACGTAATTCAGCTGGTTTACCCATTTTAACTATAAATTGTCTTTGTCCATTAATATCTTCATCTTTAACAATTATATTATGTAATTGTTCACGTTCATTTATTGTTTTTTCTTCAATACATCCACCTTGTTCATCTAATAACCATATATCATTACCATTAATAGCTAACCATGATCGATCATCAAATGGAGTTATATAAGTTCCTAAACCACCAGATTTTAAATTAATACCACGATACATTCGAACCAGTGTAAAATCAAATAAATCAACACGCCATTGATTATTATCATGATGAGAAGCTTTTTCCATTTTTTGTTGTTTTATACAAATAGCTAAACATGTTTCATTAGCACGTATACATGATATAAGACGATCATCAGATTCAAATATATCATGATACCATCGTCTAATAAGAGAACCAGAAACAAGTGACCAACGTTCAATATTTGTACGTGAACCCGATGTTGTTAGAGCAAAAAATACATCGGATGCATTAGGAAGACAAGCAACTGATTGAAAATGACTTCCTATATTAGAAAAAAATTAATTCAATGATAAATTTTCTGTACGAACAAAGAAAAAAACAAACGATTTCTTTCGATTTCAAGTCCACTATTTATATTGTGATATGTGTCACTAAATACTTAAATAGAAGAGATTCGCAAATTATGATAAGATCTTTGTACTAGATATGGGCAAGGTGCTTCCGGTTCTGACAGAACAAGTGTCGTGACAGAGATCGAAATCGAGTTTTTTTAGATCGCAATCATGATCAAAAACGATTGGTCCAGCTCATATCTAACTTGTACACTAGGTCGCCACGGCTGAGTAACTACGTCGTGACATACACCTATTTTTGTGGATAGTTAGTGTGTAGGAAGATCTCAAACAATAGAGCGCTAAAACTCTGTGTCAGACTGGCCTTCTATTCAGAGTTACACCTACTACTAATTGTAGCGAAGATATCGGGCTACTGAATCTATCACTAAGCAGCATCCCATACCGCAAGGTAACCCAAAGGTAGAAGTATTCATCTTCTGCCTAGCTTAAACTGTTGTAAAGAATTGCTTAAGTTGATTCAATTTTCTATCGTATTTACATTTCCAATGAATCATGTTTTAACAATGGATATATTGTAGTTAGTAATAAATGTTTATTCGGTTGCGTATTTTTCATATTTTTCTAAAAAAGTGAGTGAAAAAAAAAAGATCTTGAAGAAATCAAATTTATAAATTCTGACTAATCTATGTACAATATCTCATACAAACAAGAAATTTAAATAAAACAAAAAAAGTAAAAAAATATCACAGAGAATTTTTTCTAGAATAAGAAGTTTTTTTTCATTAGTAGCTAAAATATTTTTGAAATATATTCAACACATTTTTATTAAACTATATTTCATTTATTTAATATCTAATCATATGTAGATATATATGATGTAAATATTAATCAAACACTGATGTCGTAGAATCCATAGATCATTCTCATTGAAAATTCTTAACTAATTTTTTTAAAAAAGTGTTTAGTTCTTCTTGAAAACATACGTGAAACATTTTCTTTATTTGAAAAAGAGCTGATTCTCGAGTCACACTTTCTCTTTCCGAGAAAAACCCACTATATAGCAAACAAACAAACAAAAAAAATTTCCGGGATGAAAACTTAGAAGCAAGAAAAAATTTTGACAGAGGAAATCTTTCCGCTTCTCTTCTTTAATCTAATGATCTGTAAATAATATATTATTAATTATAATTTTTACCTGTTGGAGGTTTTAATTGTTCACTTTTTTCTAATGTTGACATATGTGGATCAAGTGTAAAAAAATTTAATGCTGATAAAACACAAAATTGTTCAAGATAATTTGAATAAATAAGATCTTTAATTGAACCAGCAAATGAATCATCTGGTTGTTCTTGCCATGGAATTTCATTTATACGACGTTGTTCATCAAATAAAACAAGATGATTATCATCTTCAATAAGCATACGATTATCTTCTGATATAGCTATAAATGATGAATGACATGAATCAAGTATAAAACGACGTTTTGGTGTTGAAATATTATCAAGTATAGATAATTGAGCATTTTCACGTTGAATATCTATTTAAAAATACAAATGATTAATTAAAAATTTTTTGAATTTCTTTTACTTTTAAGTATTTCAATTTGTTCAACTAATTTTTTTTCATCACTACTAACTTTTGTTAATAATCTTCCAAATACTTGTAAATCACAATCAGTTTTTGTTATTTTCTTTTTTATATCATTTAATTCTTGTTCAGATAAATTTTTTCGTCGTTCAATAACCATTTTACTTAAATTTGGTAATATATCTTGTCTTAATATTGCTGTACGACGTTGTTTTAATTGATGTAAACGACTAGTTAATGAATCAAGTTTATTTATTGTATTTAAATGAATATTATTTATTAATGAAAACATTTCTGTACGCCAATCATCTACTGTACGACGAGAACTTGTTAAATCATTTTCAATTTGTAGACCATCAATTAAAGTTAATAATGAACGAGCACGTTCATGTAATATTTGACCAGATGCGGACGACATTAGAACAATTCTTTCTTTGTTTTTTTTTAATAGAAAATATCTATATAGAGAATCATATTAAATTTTCAAGCTTTTTTTTTTTTATTTACATTTAATTGTTTTATAAGTATTTATTAGATTAAAGTAAGGAAGGAGCAACTTTCTAATCTTAATAAATTTTAGTTGTCAGATTACAAGATATTACTAATGTTAAGTACAGAAAATATTAAGCATTCATAAAAGATTATATATATATATATATTCGACTTTTATTATTGGGTATAACTATGAATAGCTTATATATAATCATATGTAACCTGAAAAGAAGTTTTCGCGAGCTGAGATGATCTCTCGTTTTCATCTTGAAAAATTTTCGTTTCTCTCCAATGTTGTATTGTTTATTTGCTTACCTGTTTCCAAAATAAAAAACCGTTTGACCTCGTATCACGAATTAGGTCAAGTTTAACAATAACCTCCGAATCACTCGTGTGAGTCGTCGACCTTCGCTCTCAATCCTGATGACCTCGGAACATTCCTGAATTTTGCTTGTAACTAACGGAAAGTTGAATTAAATAAGAAGTTTTTATTAATACAATTAATATTGACAATATCATACAAGGAATTCGAAACTAGTTTGTTTATTCGTTTTGAACTAAAGCGTTCTTTCGTTTTTTTTTCTTTGACTAACTATATGAATGAATCACAAAATTAAGTTTTATAGCGCTACAATCTATGTTAATGATTGTTGGTTAGAATAAGGTTTCATTAATGTATGATATTTGCATAATGAAAAAAATAAATAAAATTTAATTAAGAGTTAATTTTGATTGGTGTATTTAAACATTCCTATCATATTAATCAAATGTTTTCTGTTTCTTTGAGTTGATCTCTCTCTCTTTTATTTTTATCATTCCTTCATCATACTTTCATTGTGTTATATATCGCGATAATGTGGGTGAAACCTTTACAGATTCAGGTGAGAGGTTTCTTGTAAATAAATTTAATCTATTCTAATTTCTTTGTTGTCATAGATTAGCGGATTTTGGTAAGATTATTTCTACATTCTTCTTATTTTTTATGGAATTTATTTAATTCAGGTCAACTGATCGAGCTAACCCTTATTTTATATTACAACGTCGTCGTGGTCACGATGAACGACGTAGTGGTTTAGCTACTCTACTTGTTGCAACCATTGATACTGTTTTAGATAATAAAGTAACATTAAAAATTAAACTTAATTGATCCATTTAAATTTGAAGTTATTCTTTTTTCTTTTTTTCAATAGATAAGTCGTTATCGTATACTTTATAAACGACCAGATGCTGAAATTTATTTTTGTAAAAATTGTATTTCATGAATAATTTCAAATGAAAATCAATTTTTAAATTTTAGTAATTGCTGAAACAGATAAAAAAGAAGATGTTGAAGAACATTGGAAATGGATTGAAGTCAATATGATGCCAACACTTGGTAACAAAATTTTGTTTTTATATTTAAATTATGATTAATAGTTTTTCTTTTTTCTAATAGAAGGAATTGATGTTGCTGACGATATTAGTGATTTTGTACAATGGAAAATAAAAAGTTTATGTACAGAAGCTGCTTATGAAGATATTGGAGGTAAAATAAAAATTATATTATAAAAATTATATAATAGAACAAAAATAATTATAGATATTGAAACGGAAAAATTTAAAAATGCAACAAAAAAATTTCATAAAGTATTTAATATGTCAATGGATGAAAAACTTGTTATTTGTAAGAATTTTATTTAAGAAATAATTTTTATTATTTTTTTATTTTTTAAATTATATTTTCAAAGATTATTCATGTTCTTTTTGGCGTGGTCGTGTACCTCGACAAGGTTATCTTTATTTATCTGTAAATTATCTATGTTTTTATTCGGGTTTACTTGGAAAAGAAATAACAATTGTAATTAAATTTACAGATATTATTGTAAATATTGTTTTATATTTAATTAATGAATAATAGAAAAAAACATATATATATATGTATTTTGTTTTTTTGTAGTCACTTGAACGTGTACATAATATTGTATCAGAAACAATACGTATATGTACTCGTCTACATAAATATCATTTTGGAATGTTTAGAAAACTTGAAGAAACATTTCAAATAATGGAACAAATAGCAAATTTTGCTGCAAAAAAGTAAATTTCGTTTTCGATTATTATTGAAATATTTGCTTATAATTAAGTTTTTGTTTTTTTCTTTATTCATATAGATTGTTATCTCAAAAAGGTGCATTTCAAGAAGAAGATCATTTTCCAGCTGTTACAAAGTAAGTGTTTGATAAAGTGTTATTTTAAATACATGTAAACTAAATTGAACTAGATAGTCATTTGATTTCATATACAAAAGAATTTCAAAAAATAAAGAAACTAAATTTTTACTCATGAGTAAATAAAGGATTTATCAATTGAGATTAATGAAAACTTGATTTTTGAGTGATAGAATTGAACGATTAATTTAACTCGATTTACTATTTTATCTAGTTAATGCATTTATATGAAAAGATTTATTAACATGTAAGTGACACATTTGGATTTAATGAAAGGTGAGAAA